ATTTGGCTACTCTTGTCCGTAACTGATCAGCATGCCGCTTCCAGACCATGCCCTTGGCACTAACATGATATAGCACCGGACCCACCTGTTTAACGACTTCACCTGGAACCCATTTGACACCACTAACAAAGTTTCTGGCCCAAACCTTGTCTCCAACAGTGAACACTTTCATGGGTTTGGTCTCGCTTGTGAGGAGCTTTTTATCAACTTGTCTCTTCACGTCAGGCTTAAGCAGACCAAGCTTTGTCTTCAGGTTCCTCCCAAAAAGGAGCTGTGYGGGACTCTGTTCTGTGGTGGCATGGGGTGAAACACGGTAGGCCATGAGGAAGCGATCAAGTTTGTGCTGTAAGTCTCGACCAGTCAAGTCTGCCTTGACAGCGCGCTTGAAACTTTGAACCAAACGCTCAGCCATTCCGTTTGTAGAAGGGTGGTACGGTGCGCCCATGATATGGCGAATGCCGTTGGACTGTGCAAAACGTTTGAACACTTCGGAGGTAAATTGGGGCCCGTTATCTGACACGATTTGCTCTGGCAACCCCATTCGGGCTAGAAGTGTGCGCAACGTTGCCACTGTTTCCTCTGCAGTAGTGTTCTTCATTAAGAATATCTCCGGCCATTTGGTGCTTGCGTCCACCACAACCAGTAACATTCAGCCCTGAAAAGGGCCTGCAAAGTCTATGTGTAGACGTTGCCAGGGCGAGGCTGGATACTCCCAGCGATGCAATGTTGTCGGCGCGGGATTGTTCGTGACTTGTTGACATCCATCGCACTCCTTCACTGTCCTTTCTATGTCTCCGTCCATCTGTGGCCACCAAGCATAGCTCCGGCCCAGTCCCTTCATCTTTACCATGCCAATGTGGCCTTCGTGTAGAATGTCGAGGACTCTGCTTCGCAGCTTAGGTGGAACTATGACTCGAGTACCCCACATTAGTACTCCGTTATGAACAACTATCTCTTCACTGCGTGATGCATATGGTGCGAGCTGTGTACAAGCTTCGTAGGAGTCCCATCCCTCCTCCACAAATCTGACCACACGAGCAAGATCAGGATCCCTTCGGGTTTCCCGTCTCAGGTCCCTTTCAGGGACTGGAAGGGTGTTTATTACAGTGGAGTAGAGGAAACTAACACTGTCCAAACGGTCCCTTGGGGCCGCTGGTGAAGGTAGTCGGGATAATCCGTCACAGTTTGCATGTTCCTTGGTTCCGCGATACCCAATCTCATAGGAGAACGCGCCCAAAAACAGACACCATCGCTGAATTCGGGCTGCACTTGTCACTGGGACGGCTCTTTTTGGATCCATTAGGAACTTCAATGGCTCGTGATCTGTAATCAGCTTGAAGTGCCGTCCTTCTAGGTATGACCGGAACCTTTTTACACCCCAAATGATGCCAAGTGCCTCTTTCTCTATTTGGGAATATTTCTTTTCTGTTGGCGTTAAAGACCTTGAAGAGTAGGCTATTGGTCTTTCGCTTCCGTCAGGCAGCTTATGAGACAGCACCGCCCCTAACCCATACGAAGAACTGTCAGTGGCCAGGATCACTGGCAAGTCCGGGTCGAAATGGATAAGGACTCGATCTTCTGTCAGCATGTTCTTGACCGTTTGGAAGCTTTTTTCCTCCTTCTGCCCCCAGCTCCATTTCTGGTCTTTAGCCAACAGGCGGTGCAGGGGRTTAAGATGAGTGGACAGGTCTGGCAAAAAACGTGCATAATACTGTACCATCCCCAGGAAAGAACGTAGTTGAGAGACATCCTGGGGCGCCGGCATATCAGTTATGGCTTTCACCTTCTTAGGGGACTGWCGAAGGCCTTCTGCTGCAATGATATGTCCACAGTACTCTACGGAGTCCCTGAGGAAGGTGCATTTGTCTTTATTAGCCTTGAGTCCATTCTCTTCCAGCCTTGTCAGGACTTGGTCCATGGTCTCCAGGTGCTCTTCCTCTGTCTTGCCTGTTATGATTATGTCATTGATATAACATTGCACCCCGTTGAGACCTTGCAGCACCTGGTCCATTGCTCGCTGCCACAAAGCTGGTGCTGAGGCAATACCGTAGGGCATCCGCTGATACTGGTAGAGACCGCGATGAGTGTTAATCGTGACGTATGGTTTGCTACCTTCGTCCACTTCCATCTGTAAATATGCTTGCTTCAAGTCAATCACAGAGAAGATCTTACCACCATTCAAACTCCCGTATATGTCCTCGATACGGGGCAATGGGTACACATCAATTTCGARAAAGGGGTTGACTGTTACCTTGAAGTCACCACAGACCCGGATACTACCATCTTTCTTGATGGGTGTGACAATAGGGGCTGCCCACTCACTGTGGGTAACCTTTTTCAAAATTCCTTGAGACACTAGTCTTTCCAGCTCTTTATCAACAGCCGGCTTACGCGCTAAGGCAATAGGCCTTGGCTTCCAAAACTGAGGACGTGCCCCATCCTTCAGGGTAAACTTGGCTTTAATGTTCTTCAGACAACCCAAGTCGTCTGAGAACACAGTCTCATGGCGGTCTAGCAYGCTTKGCAGTCCGCTTGCAYGGACTTCCATCTTTAGCAGCCGCCAGTCTAGGGTAATCTCTCTTAACCACTCCCTACCCACTAGCGCCGGGCCACCTCCCTTTATTACATACAGGGGTAGCTTTTTCTTTTGGTCTTGATATGTCACCATTACRGTGCACTTGCCCAATGGTCTAACAGTTTCACCAGTATACGTGTGCAGCTGAAGAGTGGTATYTAACAGGGGAATATGTCCTAGGTATTCCCAGTAACTTGTTTCACTAATAACAGTAACAGCTGAACCTGTATCGATTTCCATATACGAAATGGGGTTTTCTCCAGGGCTAAATCAACGCAAATGGGCTCTCTCTTTTTGGCAGTGGTTAGATGGTTCAGATCTGAGGAGCTGCTCCCGTCATCACTACACTCTAGGGTTTTCACTGGGGTCCCCTTGGCAGTTAAAGCACGACASGCTCTCTTAATGTGTCCCACCTTTCCACAATGGTAACATTTTTCTTTTTTAAATTTACATGTCTTAGGGTCATGCTGCTCCCCACAACGACCGCATTTTTGTTCAGGCTGCTGAGTGTTGTGCTCTTTTTTGTTAGGCTCTTGTTTCTTTGGGATTCTACRCCTTTGCTTCCCCTTTGGCTTAACATCTTTCAAAACGTGGACCCTCGCGCTGACATTGGGTTCCACCTCCCCCTTAAGGGCATGCACATCTTTATTAGCTTGCTCATGAGCTATGCACTTAGCTACTGCTCTGTCGAACGTCAAATCATCCAAGTTTTCTTTTAGCAAATCACGTAGCATTTTGTCATCGCGAATGCCTGATACCAATCRGTCTCGCAGGCGCTCATTTCGCATGGCATTACTGAACTTACACTCACTTGCTAAGTGCTTTAAAACAGCTACGTAATCTTTAACTGACTCACCGTCCCTTCTAGATCGGTTATCGAAGTCAAATCGTGCTACTAAGGCAGATTTTTCCRGCTTGACATGATTTTTAAGTCGCCCAACAATAACATCATACGTCGTACCTTCGTCGGTTGGTTCGGCGGGTATAAGTAAATCCTTTAATAACTGATACATCTCCGGCGACAAATTTGCCAGTAGAATTGCCTTCTTTGTCTTGGGGTCTTCTATCTTATTCACAATGAAGTAGAAATCCATTTGTTCAGTGTAAGTCGGTACCCTTTTGATATTTTGCTATTTTGCCGTAGCAAAATGAACTCGCTGCACTAGGTGCTTCTCCGCCCAGCATTTCGACACAATAGCTGATTCAACGGCTTCTTCGCTGAGAACTTTTCCTTAGGACCTTCTCTCCCAAATTTAGGCTTATTTGGATCCCGTCCTCGTCGCCAATTTGTTGTATTTTAACCACAACAAGAAACAAGATGGCCACACTTATTCTGCTTTATTCTCCACGTGCATTTATGCTAATGAATTACATAGATGCATAATATACGGAAGTAAATCTCTCTAGTAAGCGGAAGTAATATCTTACAGTAGTGGTAGTGGTAGTGGTATTGGTAGTGGTGGTGGTGGCGGTGGTGGTATGGCGGTAGCGGTGGCGGTAGTGGTGGTGGTGGTGGTGGTAGTGGTAGTGGTAGTAG